TAATTTTTTTATATTTTTAAATATTTTTTTTAAATTTTAACATTTAATTAAATTGGACGCATTCTAATTTAGAAAGTTAAACAATGGCTCAATGGAAAAAAAAGAAAGAAGGATAGAGCGACAGGGAACATTGGGTTTATGAAATATGGGACTATGGAAGTGCACACATATGACATCTCAAGACAAACTGGGCGTTTACTTGCCGCATACGTTTTTCCGGGCCATCCTACAGGGAATGCTACGTGCTCTAATCTTATGGACGTCGGTCCGGATTTTTATTACACTCGAATGGGCAAGACGCGTCGAGTTCAACATCCTAAAGGTCTATAGACTCGGACTGAGAAACCCTGTGCGCGCTGACTTTTACGGGTCGGGTTCGCCGGCTTTCCGCCACTTCTCCATCGAGCAGACAGATCGATTTCTCCGGCGCCCCTTTGTTTCCTCGACCAGGCCATCCTGCGAGAGTCTGCTTGGGGGCTCATATACCGAATGTCTCGCGTGGAGTCTGCGATCGGCATCTTTACGACCATTGTTATATTGTTCACGCCCGCAGTCTGTGAACAAGCGGGCGATCAATAATGTGTTGTCAACGTCGATGTATCATAACGCTCGCGAAGAAACATAAGAACACAGTTATTATACTGCTTGATTTATTCATGTGCACGATACATGTGCCGGACAAAATATCGTCACAGTATTTTAGAATATTTATATTTCCTGATAAAATTTACAAACAACATTGACATTTTCATCATATATAGGTGTTAAAAATCGCGTTGTTTCTATCGTACGCAAATTTGTAACATATTTCTGCTTGTTGGAGCAAATAAATGCTGGAGCGCGTCAAACCGTTTCATAAACTCGCGTGCGCAGAATGGTCGGCATCGAAGTTACGTGACTTTATCGAATTTAATATGTTATGTCATTTATTGTGTATAACATTCATTTTTTGCACATTAATTTTTTACGCGTGTGTTCAATACATGTACTTATTTATAAATTTTGTAGTTATGAAAGGGTTACCGTAGGTTGTATAACGCGTCATCCTCAGTACAAGAATAGCAATAAGCTGCACGCACATTGCACACACGTTTTAAATAATATATCTTATCGTAACTGATGTAACATTACCTCGTCCGAGATATATATGGATAACGTTCTTGCTGAAATATCTAAAAATTCAGAGAGCTACTTGGAAATAATTTTATTGGATCATCAAAATAATTATGTAAGAAATTTAAGCATAATTAGCAATATTGTAAAAAATTTTAATTCGAAAAGTTTTAAAAAAAAGTTTTAATAAAAAGTTTTCCAACTTGAACGTCCTACATAATTATTTTGATAATTCAAAATAATTATTTTCAGGTCTATATCTAACTAAATTTTTAGATATTTTAACAAAATCGCTTTCTCAGAAAGGATTTCTAGTAGACAAAGTATTATTGACATACTTGATCTTATTGCAACTTTATACGGAATAAAAATAAAATAATATTAAATTTGGATCAATATTTCTTACTCTTCCTCCTTGAATAAGATTGATTTATTGTCTTGAGATAGGAGTAACACATACAAATTTAAGTTTATATATTCTTACGTTCAGAATAAATCTTCACTCAATGTTACAATATAATGTATGCTAGCGCCATAGTATTTGACGCAAAACCGATATGCTTGATACTTTATTCTAAATTTAAGATTTTTCATTTAAGAATAATATTCTTCTTTCAACAATAAATAACAATTGTCTCTATACCGATCCTATTTTATGATAGACCAAAGAATTAATAGCATTGAATTCAGAAATCTTTTCTATGAACGTCTTTCCTATGTAATTATGAATTCTTCTTTTTATTTCTTTTACATTAAACTGTATTATACTTCTTTCACATACTTGTGATGATTCTTCAATTGCTGGGATTGCTTCAATTGCACAAGCTGGGACCTACAGTTTTTTTAAAACTGTTTCCGAACGGCGGATTTTTTGAAAGGTGTTTCTCTAATCCAAGGATTCTCTTGGGAGGTTGCTGGCCTTTTCTGAAAAGAGCGTAAATATTTTGGTTCCTACTAGAATGGAACCCGAGTCCTCTGGTATGATAGTGGGATTTCTGGCATGATAGATCAGTGCACTATCTGCCATGCCACACTTCCGCTTGTAATTATGAATTAAAGATCATAAATGTATTCATATTTCAATCTCAACAGTAATTTACAAACGTAATTTATGTACACAATTTACAAAGTCATATTTAATTTTTCGTATATCGAAAATTAGTTAATTAAATATGAAAATATAATTCGCATTGACAGAAAATGGCGAGGTATTGCTGAATGTTTCTAAAATAGGAATGAAATGGCAGCGCGTGCCGGAGTACGTTCTCGCATTAGCCGCGAGACTAATGAGAGATTAAAGCGGCGTTTCCTTTCCATTCCGGATCGATAACGCTCGCATTATTCCGCGAAAGTTGCGTGTTCAGGCCGCTCCTTCGCTTTCCATGGCAAAGCGTCTTCCGTTATATCTAGTTTCTGTTCTCCAGCGAATTCTCGAGCATGAAATTCCTCTCTTCAAAATCGCTTTAAAAAGTCTTACTGCGTTATATTTCTGTTTTATGTTATATTTCTGCGAATCTCATAGAAACTTGTCCATACTCGGATTTACAGCAAAGTGTTCATTTGGGACCCGTTTGCAAATATTATCTCAGCGCGAGACAAGCCTGAGCAAACATTCCGGAGATGTTGTTCTTTCTGAATTGGACTTTGAGTTACGGATCTTTCGTGACGCAATGAGCAGGTAGTCGCGTGAAATTGCTTCCTCAGGTCGCAAAACGCCGTTGAAGACCACGTGGTAGGATACTGCTATAATTGTCGGGAGTCGCGGACGACCTGTAATTATATCGTGTAATGGAAAGACGCCTCGTGGGAGCCTAGGATTATAAACCTGTCTTTTGACGATGAGAAAACTTTTATTTCTATCATATTCTCTAAATGAACCGTGATGACACATGCATGTAATATTTTATTAAAATATTCTAGATAATAAATATGTCTGTTTATTTGATTTGATTGCTTGCTATTTAAAAAGATTTATTTATTAGCATCTATATATAATATTTTACATGATGTAATATTATTATATGTATGATATCCTTAATTAAGAACGTACGAATTGTTTTAATTTAAATATTTAATCCTTCATAAGTCCTCTTATAGTTTGCTGTGAAACCTCCCGTAACGAAGTAATGATTTTCCATCAGGAAAGAGCAAAAATAAAAAGCAAAAGATATAAAATGTAAAGTTTATTTGTCAGGACTTATCGTAAATTTCCTCAAATGTCATTACAAAGAAGCCTTAAAATGTATAACTTGTTTTCCATTCAATAGAGAAGAATAATACTCAATTTTACTTTACAAGAAGTTTCATAAAATCTAATAACTAATTTAATCTGAAATATTAAATAATAGCATTAAATAGTTTATTAAAATAAAATTTCGTTATCTCTTCAAGTTTATAAACAATTTATCTCTTATTTTACTAATTTTGCTCATTTATCTTTGTGCTCAATATAACCCTTTCTTTATCGCAACCTCTTCATCGCCTACGTCACGAAGATTCTCGTCTTCTTCATCGTTATGCTTCATTAGCTTATAATCGCAGGAAATCTGCTCTATGCTAATTGTCACCTTATTTGCCTCCTAT